ACCAATCAACACCCTCTTTGATACAAACCTTTGGTCCTTTGTTACAATAACAAAATGCTGTGAAACATTACCTACAGGGCTGCGGTGTCTGTAGTACGTATTATAAATTGCACTATGCCAGAAGTAACATTAATACCTTTAATTTATAGCACAACCGTAAAATTTATAGTATTTAATTCATGTGAGAGGAGATAAGCCTTTTATGCTCACTTCTCTGACAATATTATCTAGTGGCTTACCAATCAAATAATTCGAGTTACGTATTTGGCAGATACAATCATAGCTGCTTGGAAACTCATATTTGAGCTGCTTATATAATATGTGAAATTGTCGCCACCTGAAATTACTACTTAATGCAGTAATGCATGAGGTGCTTAAAAAATGTAGATTAGCTGTAGCAAAAAACTAGATCGCATGTAAATTATTCAATAAGAGCACAATTTCAAGAGCAAAAAAAAAACCCCCAATTTAAAGCATTTTGTGAATTAGATTGGAATCAAAAGAGCGTCATTATGTTAAAATTTTTGATTGAAAGAATTTTTTTTTTAGACTAAACGACGATTTAATAATAGTTGTGTTTTCTAAAAAAAAAAAAAATAATAATAAATAAACAAAAAACGTGATCCGACTTTGCATTCTGATTGGATAATTGTCCGAAGCGTAGCGAGGACTCTATGGTAGAGCAATGAACATGATTTTGTGTTGGGTTCCGTCCACATGATCAATTATTAGCCAATCAACTATAGAGATCGACACGGATCAGCCCGGTGTTTATTCTTGGCTTCGGACAATAACGGTATCCGTTTTCTAGTTAATATGTATTTGTTCTATGATACCCGATACAGTATCAAATTTCAGAATTTGCGAAACAAACGTACTATGTAGTACAATTCTGTCAACTTTAAAAAACTAGTTTTTTCTACCAAAACTTGATTGATTGATAATTATGATGTTTCAAAAAAAACAAATTGTTTTTCTCGTATCCATTTTCTTCGTACCTCATGTATTTTCTTGGGGATTTGTAGGTAGTAATAGATGAATTGTATTATTATTTTTGAAAAAGATTTATATTTAAAATTTTTTTGAATTTAGGACATGAAATTACAGCAGCAATAGGTCAACGATTTCTTTCGCCAAAAGTTTATAAGAAAGTCCTTGAATTACTTCCAAAAGAAGCTCATGGAAATTTATCATTGTATAATAATTTAATATGCTATGTTTCGTTAATAATCAATGCTAGAATTAAAAAAAAATTTTTTTTTATTAATTGCAAAGTATTGCAGCATGGGCGGATCAAGTTAAATATACACCAGAGTACAACTTTACAGCACCAATGCACTATTTTGATACATCACCACTAACAGATAATCCACCATCTTATTGCTCTGTCGATTGGGTTCCAGGAAAAGTTGAATTTGATGTGATTACTGCAATTCATAATTATTCAAATAGACTTGATCCAAACTCAGATCTCAGCTTTTTGTCAAGAGCTGAAGCATTAAAATTTCTAGTTCATTTTATCGGAGATTTACATCAACCTTTGCATAGTAAGTTACATATACTCGTATTACTTTATGTATTTACTACAGTACTCACATGATTAATTTTTTTTTGATATGAAGTTACAAGTAAAGATAAAGGTGGAAACGGTATACCAGGTATATTTTATCGATTTCTTTGTTTTATGTAATAATATATCGTAGTACTGATTTAATATTTCTTTTTGTAAAAGTTACATTTGAAGGACACAATACGAATTTACACTCCATATGGGACACGTCTATTATTTATGTATGTAAATATATCAGCAAAATTTAGGAATTTCATACAGCACAATAACTTTTGTTTATAAAAAATTTATTATTCAAATTACGGGCAATAATCATTTTGAATGCATTGTGTGAAATTTCAAAATTTTGTCACTATATATGAGAGATTTGAATCGTTTAAATTCAAATTTCTTTACATGTGCAATGTAAGTAATTATTTTTCATTTATTCAATAATTTTTTTTTATAATAATAGAAACGAATTCGTGAATTTAATGAAAATTCTACTTTTGACCATAATTTACCCAAGAATGATAATCGGTTTAACTCTTCTGCTCCCTTATCCGAAGGCCCATCTTATGACCTATATTTAAATTACATAGTTGGTTTAATGAGAACAACATGGCGCAATGAACTTTCATCATGGACTATCTGTAATGAAGATTTAAAACTATCAAATGAGTGTCCCTCATCTAGTCCTAATAAATTCCATTTTTCTTCTGCAAATGAATCTTCTAATCATTTTCTCATATCAATAAATCAAGAAATTTCATTCAGTGCAACTTGTCCAGAATATTGGGTTATAGCCATAAATAAATTAAATTGTCAAGTAGTTTTTAAATATGATCCTGAATCAGATTTGAGCACTGGTGAATATTATGAGAGAATTGTTAATGAGAAAATTATTGAGAAATTATTAGCTGTTGCTGGTATCAGAATTGCAGCTGTATTAAATACTATTTTAAACTAAAAATATGAATTATTTTTATCTATGTTAATTTTAAATAGTAGCTAAGTTAAATATTATTTTTATAAATTATTTTGCAACTATGATAAATACTATTCATAAATAAAAATATAAATTATTTTATGATTTATTAATCTTAAGCGAGAAAGCTAATACTAAATTTTTAATATTGTGCAAGATATCTATACTAAACAATCATATGACCTGTTTCAATTTTTCAAACCTTTTTATACAAGATGTTGTAATAAAAATATCCCGAGCTGCTGGATATCGCTAGTACACTTACGGATCATGGTATTTTTCCTAAATACCCCGTGATCTTGATTTAGTGGTCGGTCATTTTTTAAAAAATCTGCAACTAGAAAATGTGTACCGGGTTTGGATCGGATGATGGTCCGGGTGACAGTCCGGATGATAGTCCGGAAATAATTCTTCGAATTTTTTTTTATTATTTTTTACCAACGCTAAATTTATTTTTCAATTAAATAAATACTTTGAATTTTTTTTTTTTTTACTTTTTAAAATTTATTTTTCAATTAAAACACGATAATATATAATTATAAATCAATGTTTAACACAATTGCAGTGCATATACAACGCACACAAATAATATAAATTAACTCTAGTTTATGCTCTTTAACCTTTAATTTGGTT